GTACGTATGTGTATGTACGCGAGGATATACGTGTACGTACATGTACATGTACGTGTATGTATGTATGTATATATATATATATATATATATATATACATATATATATATATGTATATATATATATATATAGCAACCTCACGTTGTGGGCAGACTGAACACCATTGCAACTGCAAACACCATGTCTCTGGAAGGTCACCGGGTCCCTGCGGGCTGCAAGGGCTGTGCTTAACTTTGACCCGGCAACTCTAAGAAGTACACCTTGGAATGCAAGCACAAAAAACAAAGCAACCGGACGATTCAAGTAACCCCTCAAATGCAAAAGCTCCCACACCCCAGCCACTGATGGCAATGCAAAGTCACAGCTCTCCACAGTCCTCAAAAACCCACATAAAATCACATAAAGATTCGACCCCACGAAACCGAAATCAAGAAACCCCAAAAGCTCTATACACCGTGCAACTTCGCACCGTAAGCCCGACGGCAAAGACCAAAGAGTCCTTTGCCAGGAACCCCGCATCCATTATCCAAGGGTAAACGGACGGACCCTTAAATAAGGACCCCTAGGTATATACCCTTAATATATCTGTTCTATACCCCTTATATAGCCCATTATAGGGTAGGGGTCCCCATTAAGGGTCCCTCCTTTCCCCTTTGACATTAATCATGGTTGAGTTTAGAGTTTAGGATTTCGGTGGGCTATGGCCGAAATACTTCAGGGATCCTTGAATATCATGTACGGAGCATTCCTCCTTTGGCGGATGCTGGAGTCTCCCGCCTCTCCGAAGAAGACGATCTTGGGCTTCACGAGACCGCCCTTCTCCGCCCTAAGCTTCTGCCAGCCCTCCTCTTCAGGATTTCAGGGCTTTGGGTTTCTTCGGGATGCACAAGGGTTCTACAATGGTCTTTGCTTCCTGGGTTGCTTGGGGTTTTAGGGTTAGGGGGATACTCTTTGAGTCATCGATTTTGGCTCTGAATATTTCGTGTGGCGGGATGAGGTTCAGGGATTCGAGCTTGGTGTTGAACTCCTCTCTAAACTGAACCGGAGGGGAAAGGAGAAAGTCGTCCTTTCTGACTCGAGCTCAAATTTTGGAGACTACAGCCCGACGAGGTGGACATTTTAGGGTTTAGGGTTTAGGGGTTCAGGGTTTAGGGGTTTAGGGTTTAGGGTTAGCTACCTCAATTGAACACCTGCTTGTTGCTAGTCGCTGCTCGGCTCAGTCTGGTTTCCCACACGTTTAGGCTCCTTCTAGACCCAAGAGTAACCTAGGAATAAAAAGGGTGCCCTTTTGGGTTTACAGGGGCTTATAAGGGAACCTGAATCCTAAAAAAGGGAGTAAGGGCCTAATCTAGGTCCTGGCAACTGGGGCTTGCGGGATAAATTCGGCTCTAAGTACGAAGACGACGACTTCTACTCCCGTACCAGGAGCTGGTGTGGGACGGTTGCTGATGAAGATCCTGCATTACCCATTGGCCCAGAATCAGCAGTATACCATAACTCGCATAGTTTAAGGTCCTTGAGGAAATGCAGGATTTATATCATCAACAGTACCACCCGTATCACCGGTATCAGTCAAGCAAGTCCTCGCCCTTGTCCAAAGCCGCTTTGAGCTCGTTAATGTCCTTTGGCAATGGGTTGTTGGGGTTTGCTCTACAAGAACTTCAATGTCGGGACCATTGGGGAGACAAATTTCGGCTTTGAGAAGATCAGGGGCAGGTATGTTGAAGAACTAAACTTGATCTCAGACCCTGTAGTTCCATTCTGCTAAACCATACCCAGAGGCCCTGCAGTAGTTCCTTTTTGGGATTACCTTATAGGATTCTATATATGAACCCAAAAAGGAACTACTTTGGGGCCTTTGGGTAAACCCTTGCAATATTGGAGCCTGAACCCAGCACTTCGAACCCCAGCCTTGAACCCAAAATAGTGACGCCTGAACCAGAACACCGCAATGTGAGGGCCTGAATGATCGAATAGGGTTTCGGGGTGTACTCTGTTTTGGTTACTAATTACAGACTAGGATCACTATTTCTTCGAACTCTTAGTATTCCTTTAAGACCCGGTCCCGGTTCACGGCGCGGAAAAAGCTACGGTGGACTGTACGTGCAGCATCTGTTTCTTCAGTACCTCCTGCGATGCCCCCTCCAAGGGGTCTGCTGAAGGCCCTTGTTACAGTGATCATGGAAGTTGAAGTTTGCCTCCCAGAACCCTAAACCCTAAACCCTGAATCCTGAATCGTAAACCCTAAACCGTGTGCCGGATCTTGGGACAGCCTTCGAGGATTGTGCAACTGGGGCACACGAGCTACCGTTCATCTTACTTCGACTTGGCAACCCAGAACCCTAGACATTCCCCACGTCCTCCCCGAAATGAGGCCCTATCACCATTAGGGCTTAGGGTTTAAGGGTTTACTGTACCCGCTGTGGCTCACATGAAGTAAATATACAAGGCCTTCCTGCATTGGAGAGCTGAGCGGCGACCAATACCTCTGGCTCCCTGTCGATGACGTGCGCCGCATCGAAATTACCATGGGCTGCCACCTCGGTGCTTCTTCGTGACCGCTCTGTACCGTGTTCAGCTATCGTAACAGTGAGAGCAATCCGGAATCATAACCCGAAGCAGCAGAGGCAGCTATGAACTCAGTGGTAGTAGTAGTAGTAGTAGTAGTAGTAGTAGTAGTAGTAGTAGTAGTAGTAGTAGTAGTAGTAGTAGCCGTCGTCGTAGTATATAGTTGTAGTAATTAGTAATTAGTCGTGGTGGTGGCGGCGGTGGTGGTGGTTATCGGTAGTGGTAGTGGCAGTAGAGTACCTAAGGCTTGCTCCAGCAAAGAACCAGCCACCGAAGTGCGGATTTCATTCATGCTCCATCTTAATATTCGCTGCGCAAGCTTGTTGTGTCATCGCGAGAGACTGTTTATGATCGACGCCGCATCGTTTATACAGAGCAAGACCGCATCACATGATAGCAGGTTCAGAACCCAAGTAGGCCGCCGCCACCACAAGGGCGAATTGTTAAGGGCTTAGGGGCTTTTGAAACTTGTGACGCAATTTCCTGACTGGGATTCACTAGAGTCACTAGACCCAAGAGTAACCTAGGAACAAAAAGGGTGCCTTTTTGGTTTAAAGGGGCTTACAACGGAACCTGAAACCAAAAAAGGGAATACGGGCTTAGTAACTACCCCAGGGGTTCAGGGTTGCGGTTTGGAAGCATGTTCAGTATAAGGCGGACAAAGCAAGCATTGCAGTAAAGCCGCAATAGAAAGTCCTTACAACCATAAGATAAGACCTGCAAACAAACGCAGTCTATCAAACCTCGAGTAAATGCAAAAGCATAGCTGACATTGAACATGGAGCATTAAGCGTCAAGCTGTAAGGCCACCAACTAACCTAAGCTCCGAAGCCTTACTTGCGGCTTTGGGTTCTTCTTGGGGGGTGGCTTCAGTCTGAATCATCGAGGTGCTAGCTTTTCCGCTGGCAGCCCAGCTCGACATTCGAGGCTGTCGATGTTCTGGGAGTAGCATCGCAGAAGGATGCCCTGGCTACCCAGAGGCTCCAAAGTAGTTCCATTTTGGGTTTACTTTATAATATTCTTTATATGAACCTCCAAAAGGAACTACTATGGGGCCTATGGGTAAGCCCTTTCAGTGGAGGCTGAGGGTTTAGAGTTTCGGGTTCAAGAGCTCAGAATTTAGGGTTTAGGCTTGAGGGTTTAGGATTTGTAGAGGCTTTAAATTTCGAATTAGCTTGTTTAGATGTGTAAGTTTTCGTTGTCATTGTTCCGTAGGGTTTCGGGTCTTTGAGGGCTCAGAGGCTCTTTCCTTCAGGATGTGCGGAATCAGAATTCGGGTGAATGGTTCAGCGCTCAAGGTTCAGACTTTGAAGTTTAGCGGTTTAGGGGTTAGGGGTTTTCTTTGGAGTTTAGGGCCCAGACCTTCCAAAATCCCTTAATTAAGGAATAGACTTTACATCATATTAGGGATCCTACTATAATTTAAGGTATATTCCTTAATTAAGGGATTTTGGAAGGTCTGGGGGTTTAGGGTTCAGAGTTTGAAGTTGTCCTAAACCCTAACCTTGGACCCCAAACCTGGGCTTGCAGCGGTTTGACAGTAAGGGCTTATCTAGATGGGGCTTTTAGAGCCTTTGAAAAATAATAGTAAATAAGATCCTCTTAAGCCCAATAAGGGAAAATATAAAATGTCCCAAAGCCCTACCTAGTTATGGGCCGGCTGTGAGGATGAAAGTTGATTCCCCTTCCACGGCTTCTTTGGAGGTCCTGGATGTCGAGGTTGAGGGTCTTAGACTGTAAGGTTTACGGCTTTAAGGACCGTGGGTTTAGGGTTTAGGGTTTAGGGGTGCAATCTCAGCCACACCCCTGTCCGAATTGAAGTGTCGGTTTTTCTGTCTCGCCAAGAATACCTGGTACCACAAGCGGCTAGTGTAGAGATGTAGCGGGCCTCGCTTTGAGGAAACTGTTGCTGTGCGTACTGAACCAACCCCAAACCGATCTGCCTGAACGCCGGAAATTCGACGGCTTAGAAGCACGACGGCATAGTCTAAGGGCAGTCCAGAACAGAAGCCTTGTCGTGGAGCAGTCGAATGAAGTAGTGAGCCTTAGGTGCATTCACCATAAGCCTTAAATCCCAAACCTGTACACATTAACTTTAAACCCCTAAACTTTAGACCCTAAGCCCTTAAACCCTAAACTCTAACCTAGGGTCATACCCCATCCCATTTGGAGTGGCTAGTTTTATGGTCATGCTCTGCGGTCATGCTCTGTTATCCAGAAAAGTAAGTACCCTAACAAAAGGAGTAGGGTGTGACCCTCTATAGGTAAATCACCTACAATCTTAACCCCTAAGATCTTAAACCTCCCTTAAACCCTAAAACCACAAGTCCCTAAACCCCAATCCCCAAACCCTAAAACCCTAAGCCCTAAAAGTCGACCCCCCCCTCCTTATCGAACCCTTATGGATCCCTTTTTCCCCAAGAAACAACCCAAGACCATCACTCTCTGAAATTTCGTGGCGTTCAAGACCCGGTGGACAGAAAGTTGTGTTGCGAAAGCGTTTACTAGGCTAGGGTTTAGGGGTGAGAGCTTCGTGGTTTGAGGATTTAGGGTTTAGGGGTTAGAGTTTCGTGCATTGGGGATTTGGAGTTTAGGGGTTTAGGGATTTAGGGCTTAGGGGTTAGAGTTTAAGGGCTTCGTGGTTTGGGGATTTAGGGTTTAGGGATTTAGGGCTTAGGGGTTAGAGTTTAAGGGCTTCGTGGTTTGGGGATTTAGGGTTTAGGGCTTTTAGGGTTTAAGGCTTTAAGGGTTTCGGGGTTAAGTGTAGCGGGCCTTCAACCATTAGAGTCTACTAAAATGAAACATAATGAGGAACCCGCAGGAATAGTATACTATAACAAACCCTAAGGAGTTGTGTCACTAATTATTCAGTTTCTATAGTATCGTAATGTGAAGAAGCTTCGTCAACTTGTAACGTTCGCGCTCACTTGCTTTAGGGCTGCGCAAACCGAAGCAGGGACAATTGAGGATTCATGAATGACCACTGGTGATCAGCTTATAGATTCCCTGATACGGGTTGTTGATATAGTTACTCTACTTATGACTTTGTAACCCACCTATAGCTACCCATGAACCTCCAAGACGCCGGGTTTTCGGGACACTTAGCTACTACCTGGAGTAATTGGACTCTAACACCTCAAACCCCAAAGCCAACGTCTTTTTACAGTGGGTGGCTATGCTCTGGGCTTTTTGGGACAATAGGGGAACAAGGCGAGCCGTTTCAAAGCCTTCGACAAAGTTCGTGAATAGCATCGTCGTAGGCTCAATGCAGGAAAACGTAAAATGTTCCAAAGGCCTGCCTAAGTAAGTAGACTCTCGTAGGATTAACCCGGAGAGCCCAATACCACTGAATCAGGGAATATACTTAAAAACCATAATAACAAGCCCCTTGTATTTTAAGGTAAATTCCTTAATTACAGGGTGCTGGGCTCTCTGGGAATATCGCAATTCCACCGGGAAGCCGGTGTTGGCTCGAAGTTTCCTGGCCACATCCTCAGCACAAGGCGGGACTTGGGGCTGAGGCTCTGATGGGTGCACGGGGAGATACGGTTGATGATAGAAATCCTGCATTACCCATTATAAGAAATATACCATAATCCCCATAATGTAGGGTCCTTAAGGTATTGCAGGATTTATATCATCACCAGTAGGGCACATGCTTCAGGGTCTAACTTAGGGGCCTAAATAACTACGGGGTCTATTATTATAAAGTTGTAGTATTCTGGGCCCCATTCTAAGTAATTGCTAAGGCCCAAATATTTGTCGAGGGTCGATGCTTCGGGGATTTCGGGCTCAAGCTTGGGACTTTCAGGAATATCGGACTTCAACATCTGTGGGTTTTGCCGTCTTAACCATGCTTGCGCGAGTTGCGCAATGCAGATTCACACAAATGTCACAAGGCTTTGAGTACGAACATACGTACGTACCCGCGCGCACACACACAGACTCGCTTCCTGATATACTGACTATCTTGCTGACATGCGTGCGAGTGTACAGTGCAGCATGTTTGGACAGATAGTGGTGATGCTTCGATCTCCGAAACTATATTTTGTACCATATGCAAGCCAAGTCTCGGTCTCAAAAGAACCCTACCAAAAACTACCAAAACCGACAGATCATGCTAGGTCTCCGCAAGCTCAAGGCTCAAAGTGCACACACGAAAGCTTCGACCCGACCCCCCTCCCCCCTTAGTTAAAAATAGGGATTCTCGAACACAACACACGCACCCTAAACCGCAAGACTCCAATGCCCTAGACTCTAGACCCTGGACCCACCTTAAAGCCGAACTAACAGTACTAAGCCCAAAACTAGACTCCAAGCAAAACCCTCAGCGTTTAACCCGAAGCATATGCTCCAAGTTGCAAACCCCAAATGCCGCTCAATGTACGCCAAACCATAACACTTAAGCCGGGAACCCTGAACACCTAAACCTCTACACCCGCACAGAACCCGAATGGGCCGCCTATATATATATATATATATATATATATATATATATATATACGTCCCTAGACTGGAGGAGCGCTGAAAACAATCCTCACCACACCCTAAACAGACTAACTGCGTCAGAGGCGGCTCTCGCGCTAGCTCGTAGAAAGCCCCGGGGTTGTCCCGGAAGAAGCGCAATCTCAGAGGGCTTACTCGCAGGTTCGTGAGTCGTTCAATGTATTGAGTGATAAGTCCCGAACATGAGTAAAACGTATACCTACCCTACTTATAACCCCACTTACAGCTACCCATGAACCTCCAAGTAGGCTTAAGAGTTAGAGAGCTCCGTGGAAAAAAAACAATTTAGTGCCAGGGCCTATCGGGTTTAGGATTTTAGGTCTTGTATAGTTCCGGGCTGAGGGCTTCCTAAAAGGGACCCTTCATTGGGGTTATGGTACTTATAAGTCCCTAAAGTAACCAGTTACTAAATCCCCCGACCCTCCAAGTAGGACTTCTAGGGTTCAGGGCTGAGGGCTTTGACTAGGGGTTTTATGGCATACGGCTAGGGCACTGAACACCACAACTTCGCCGACAAATTCTAAGCCCCAAGCCCATAAACGCCTAAACCTTAAACCTGAAACCCTAAAACCTAAATCCTAAAACCCGAAAACCATAAACCCTGAAACCCCAAACCCTAAAACCCTAAACCCCAAGACCCCAAACCCAAACCCCGCACCTGGGATCTTGAACCCTGAACTCCGAAATTGAACGCTAAGCTGCTGAATGCACGCCCGTCAAGGGCGTTATAGTGGAGGTGGCTTTCAGGATTTGGTCGTATGAGAAGCTGTTCTTAAATCCCAGAGTCGCAGAACCCATCACCATGAAAAAATTGAGATTCCCGGCTGTTACCCGTTAGATTTCCCTTTCCGATATCTATTTGGCCAGGTTCTCAACCCTAAGCCCTGAAGCCTACTGATATGCCGAGTTGCTCAAAGATGGATTCGGCCTGCGGCAGATTGAACCTCTGCGACAGACTTTGGGGCTGGCAAAGCATGGAGATCATGGAGTGTGCACAAGTCGGGGCCCGTCACCACTGAACCTACACAAGTCGGGGAGCACTGCTACCCTACACCTCGCAACCTCGACCTAGCCAGATCGGGCCCCAACCATGACCCCCATACTACTTCCTGCTTAAATCGGGGTCTCGCTGGAGTTTCATACGATGACAGGTACTTCGCAGCATGTCTGCATCCAACCAGGCCAAACAACATCACACACGGAATCCGTAAAACTCGAAACCTCACAAACCCCAAACCACCCCCAAAAAACGCTAAAGCAGCATAAACCCCCCAGACCCTTCAACTGCAGCCTCTGGAGGTTGTCGTAGAGGCCAGTGCCAGGCGTTCGGAAATCTGGGATCCCTGTGGAATCGTCATGATTAATTACCGGTTGTCTCAATGGGTCGTTGGCCTACTTGGAGGTTCGTGGGTAGTTCTACAAGTGGGGTTAGTTGTAAGGTAACTATACTTATGATTCATATTGGGGGAACTAGTATTACTATTATTACTGCTCTTAGTACTATTACTATTACTACTACTACTACTACTACTACTACTACTACTACTACTACTACTACTACTACTACTACTACTACTACTACTACTACTACTACTACTACTGCTACTGCTACTGCTACTGCTACTGCTACTGCTACTGCTACTGCTACTGCTACTGCTACTATTATTATTATTATTATTATTACTACTACTACTACTATTATTAGTATTACTGCCAACTGCCCATGGACCTCCAAGTAAAGCGAAGGATTTGGGATTCTTGTCGAGGGCAGGTCTCGGCTGCGGGTGCTCTCTACTTGGAGGGTCGGGGGACTTAGTAACTGGTTATTTTAGGGACTTATAAGTATCCTAACCCCAATTAGGGTCCCTTTTAGGGTACTTATAAGTCTACTTACTACCGACTTACTAAGTCCCCCGACCCTCCAAGTAGAACCACCTTGTCAGGGTTCCTTACTTGGAGGTCCAGGGGTAAGTATAAGCGGAGCTATAAGTAGGGCAAGTCTAATTACAACCCATACTGTTGATGATATACATCCTGCATGACCTTAAGGACCCTAAACTATGGGAATTATGGCCTATTCCTTATTGTGGGCAATGCAGGATTTATATCATCAACCGTATTACAGTAGGGGACTTATAGCCCTACTTATAAGAAAGCCGAGCTTTTTGGGGCTACACAGGTGAGGTTGAGGTGCTTAGAGCTCTGCTATAGCTTCGGGTCGAACTAAGTCAGTGGTTTCAACTCGTGGGGGAGGAATTCTTTTGCCGAGATTTGGACAAGGAGGAGGAGGAGCAGGATGAGGAGGAGGAGGAGGAGGAGAGGAAGGGAAGCGGGCGGGTGAGGAGTAGGAGGAGAAAATAGGAATAGGACAAGGAGTGTGTGTAGGAGACGGGGCAGCAGTAGAAGTTGTAGTAGAATCCTAAATCCCGGTACCAATAGCTTTCGCACTTGTACGCTGGCTGGGTGCGCCTGACTAATAAAAGCTGGGAGTTCGTATGATGGATTCGGGCCAAAGCTCTAGACCCCACTTGGAGGGAGGTTCATGAGTAGTCATAGGTTGGGTCTACTAAGTCCCCTCATCGGGGTTACATTTACAGTTGCCCTACTCATACGCCCCTTCAAACTACTCGTGAACCTCCACGTAAGCCTAAAAAGAAACACCAAAAGCTTCAGGGCAAACCCTAAGCCCGAAACCCTCCGGCATAGGTTTTCGGGGTTTGGGGCTTCGGGTGTGAGGGAACCGGGGTTTCGTCGGGACAACCCATGCGCAACTCACGCCTGCAGAGGTGGAGATTCCGGCGCCGCACATCACGACAATCTTCTTGCAGGCTTTGTCAGCTATGTACCTGCAGATTTAGGGTTGGAGGCTTGAACGGGTTGAGGGTTTAGTTGCAGATCCGAAAAACCCACCTTTTTCAGGGTTATACCAGGTTACCCTATAATTAGGGGGTCATAACCTACTATTTTGAGGGTTTGGGGATGCAGGTAGGGGGGTCTAGCGAGGTGTCTATGCATGCTTAGAGCCGCTTGGCCTTGCTCGTGGCCCTACCTACGCCAAAACCTAAACCTGAGCTCTACTTAAAGGATCATGGGACTTAGTAAGTAGGTTATAATTGGGGTTATAAGTTCCCTAAGTGGGGTTATCCTAATTATAACTTACTTATAACCTTACTTACTAAGTCCCATGATCCTCTAAGTAGTGTAAATCCAAAATCCCGGCTCTTTCCGGTGACGGGCCTGGGTCTTAGGGTTAAAGCCATGGGTTCCCAAACCCCTAAAACTCGAAGACCCTAAACTCCAACATAAAACGCTGCTCCCGAAACAAGCGGCCTTGTGATTCCCTCGAGGTCAAAGCTAGCCAGCACGGGTTCCATTTTCTCCTCCGTGGGCGCCCTTCCTGGGTCTACGCGGCTGTTTCAAGGTCAAGGGTGGGTTCGATTCTTGCGCCAGGGTTCGGCTTAGGGTTTAGGGTTGGATAGCTACTGCTTTTCATGTTCGTCTTGTTCTTACTGCTATGACTGCTTCTTCTTGCTTGTGGTGCTTGCAGCCACTGGGATGACCCTAAACCCCGAATCCCTGAACCCTCAACTTCGAACCCCTAAAACCCTAGGTTGTCCAAGAAGCGCATGGACTGAAGGACCTCCATCGGATGGACCCCCTGCTTCGCCAGCTCCTGGCATTTAGGGTTTATTGGACTTAGGCTGAGGGCTTTAGGGTTTTGAGTTTAGGGTGTATGGGCCTACTGAGGTTCTTTAAGGGTGAGGCTTTAGGGTTTCCTGGAATCCCGTGCCCGTGCAACTTTGAGAGAATTTTGTGGGTACCTTAGGGGTTCCGAGTGGATGCTTGTTTGTGGCTAGACCTTCTGCTTCTTTTGCAGGTGGGTTGATGTTAACCCTAAACCGTAAACCCTAGACCCTAAACCCTACACCCTAGACCCTCAACCGTTTACATAAGGACAAGGAGCCCCCAGGCCCTCCCCTAAAATTTGCAAGATTGCATGGATCTAAAAAAGGGTCCCTCCTAGGGTCCTTGTTATAAGGGTGCCGTGCTGTTTGAGGGACTTACGACAGGACCCGAATGTAGAGAAATGAACTACCACAAACCCGAAACGGTAAACTTAAATCCCGAAGTACCCCTACTTTTTTAGCAGTCTTCGGGGGCTTGCATTCGGGATCTCTCAGTCAGTCGTGGAAGCTTCCGATCTTCTTAGTGGACTTATAGCCCCGATAGTCTAATGGCTAATGGTTATTAGTGGGATTATACACCCCCCAATATGGGTTCTAATCATAGCCCCCTTACATATACCAACACTTAAAACTGCCCATGAACCTCCAAAGTAAGACCCCAATCGCTACGTTAAGCCTGGGCAACCATTCAAATTCATTAAAAGCTTAAACCCTAATATGGAAGACGGCAGGACCTGCATCTTTGCCAAGAGCGGTTCCTTGCCAGCAAACATGCCGCCTTCCTTTCAAGGGCAGGACGCTCTGAGTTCAGTTTAGGTTTTAAGGAGTCAGGGTTCAGAGGTTCAGGGGGTTTACGGTTCGAGGGTTTAGGATCTCGGGGTTTAGGGTATGAGGGCTAAGGTTAATAGGAGCCAATACCCCGAAAAAGGACCTACCCCCTAGGCTCTCCATGATGAGCGGTATCACAGCTTCCATCCTAAAACCAAGTGACCATGCATGACAGCTATCTGTATCTTGTTTATTGTTGATAGTGCTTTAGTTCTGTATGATGGTCATGCCACTACTTTCCAGGACAGAGCATGCTAACAAGCAACTGTTTATACGCTGTGCCAGACTCGCCTGTTCATCCTTTCCACCCTGTGCATGCAAGTACTTACGTACGAAAGCATGTATATGTCGGGCTGAGCGCACGTATGATGCAATGGTGTCATGTACACATGCAGCCGAGAGCAAGTTCAAGCACAATGTAAATGTGCATGCGTGCATGCATGCTCGTCACGCATATGCTTTGCATGATCCTGTTTTTTCCCATTCAGCCTGGTTCGCCGACAGGACCTATCCCTCACCCGCACACCCGCCCGGCCCACATCCTTGTGACTGACCGCAACCGGACCAAAACCTCGAACCACACCACCCCACTCCAGGGGGGGAGGGTGGGAAGCATGATGACAATGCCAAAGACCCAAAGCACGCCCAAATCCCGAACCAAACACACCAGAGCGGGAGGAGAGTTTTACTGTCTTATCATGCAACCCGAGGCTTGTTCGGCTTAATCGTATGTTTAAGCTTCGCGCCCTCCCGTATCCTGCCTGCTTTTCTGAAAAGTAGCTACAAAGTAGCTCCTATAAAGAATCCTTGAGTACAGTAGTTTAAGGTTCCTGAATGGGGGGTTTACTTTCTAGGTCCTTTCAGAGGTCTGGGATAGTTTACCATAGATCGTAGAAGCCTAAGACAATTACCGCTATGATTCTTTAGGGGTTCCATTTTTTGAAAAAATACGCCATTAAGGAGCCCGAAGCGCTCCTCGAATTAATCAGGCCCCTACTTGGAGGCTCACGGGTTGTTATACCCACTTGTCGGGTATCATGGGGAGCTAAAAGTTAAGCTTTTTGGTTATATGGGGATTTTATAGGGACCATACTAACCACAAAAAAGGCTAAAGGTTACCAACTCGACGACTAGGTATAAGAAGTAAGGTCACGATCATTGTGACTCATGCTAAGGGGCATATAACCCCACGTGCAACTACCCATGAACCTCCACGACCTAAACCCCAAACCCTAAACCCTAAACCCCTAAACCGCCTAGACCCCTAAACCCTAAACCCCTAAAGCCCTCAACCCTAAACCGCCTGGACCCCTAAAGCCCAACCCAATGCCTACCAGGCCTACAACCCTTATAGAATCCCTATAGATCCCTTTAACAGGGACCCTTAAAGGAACCCTTATAATTACCCATGAGCCAACCCAGAGACTCCAATATCCCTTAATGAAGGCATATACCTTAAATCTTAGGGTTTAGGGTTTAAGGGATCCCAATGTAATTTAAGGTATATCCCGTAATTAAGGGATATTGGAGTCTCGGGGAATGCCTAACAGGCCAACGGGCTCCAGTCCTGAAGCATCTGAAGGTACTCGAGAGCCGACTCCACATCAGGATCGACCCCCTGCCCACGATAGGGCTCTTTTAAAGGGGCCATAAGGGTTTAGGGCTTAGGGCTTAGGGCGTAGGGCTTAGGGTTTAGGGCTTATAGGGTTTAGGATCGAAATCCTGCCACGGTAATGTGGGAACTTGATTCAAGAACCTTGCGCCTTTAGGGTCCCTTTTTGGGTCCTTATAATACGGCACCGAATATTGAGGGTACCCAAAAAGGGAGCCTAATTTTGACAACCACCCACATGAGCTCTCCTATTTTAGGGTTATATGCCGAGGGTAGGGCTTCTTTTATGTGTTTGTCCCTCGTGTCTATTAGCCGAGAGCCTCCAGACTACCATTCTCCCAGAGACTCCAATATCCCTTAATTAGGGAATACTCCTTCAATCATATTAGGGATCCTATCATCCTAATTTAAGGAATATTCCCTAATTAAGGGGTATTGGAGTCTCTGGGCTGATTGAGGGAGGGGCTTCAGGGTTTAGGTTTAGGATTGCGGGTTTCGGGTTGGGGTTTAGGATTGAGGGTTGGGTTTCGGGCTTCGGGTTTCGGTCTAGGATTTAGGGTTGGGGTTTCGGGCTTAGGGTTCAGGATTTAGAGGCTGGTGTTTGGGCATTCAGTTCGACGGCGGCTTCAGCTGCAAGCAAAGGGATGAAGTAGACATCTCGCAGATTAGGCCCCCAGCGCACTGAGCTTTGACGCACCAGGGCTGTCTCAGCTGCCAAGCCCCCAACCAAACTCGCCGGCATCGCCCATATCTGATCCTTCTCGACCGTGGCCATTTCATGGGGTTTCGCCGAATCTCACTCAGCTGGGCCGCGTCCTTATTGACTATCCTACTTGTCGGGTATCATGGGGAACTAAAGGTTAACCTTTTCGGGTATATAAGGATTAAACATTGGGGCTATACTACCACCAAGAGGTTAAACGTTACCTACTCCACTACGAGGTTATTGGCCCTGGGCTCAGATCCCGAGTCATCAGAAGGACCATTCGGATCCCCACATGGAGACGCCATGATCCCAAGGGATCCTACCGCAGACTAAAACCGCAACATTATGCAAAAAGGCTGTGTCGGCTCCAAGCCAGCTTGTCCGGCTTATCCCAAAGATCACAAACTACCAAGTGGAGATGATGCGATAAACGAAATTCAGAACACTGAATGACCGCTCAGCCGCAAGCTGCACGGAAGCTTCACAATTCACCGTAACCGGAGAGTAACGCACATAGGGGGCTTCAGGTTCTGCACAGGTTTACGGAGAGCTGCTGACGCTTATTATGGTTGGATTTCGGACTTCGGGTTTAGGATATGGGGCTGGGATTTCCGGATATTAGGGTTGGGGTTTCGAGCTTAGGAACTTAGGGTTCAGGATTTAGGGTCTCGAACGGCTTCAGCTGCAAGCAAAGAGATGAAATAAACATCGCGCATTTTAGGCTTATGCTGCAATACCTTATTGATGCTCGATCAACAAAAAGCCCTCGCACTTCGCATCAGAAGCAACACACGGTCCTGCAACCCTCGAAGAAAGAGGCATTGCTCTCTTGCTCTCTCGCTGAGGCACGTAACTTCAGCTGACGCGAAACCAAAAAAAAGACGGTTTTGCTATGCATACATGAGTAATTGTCAAAATTATGGTCCCTAATTGGGTACCCTAAATATTAGGTGCCGTATTATAATAGGGACCCAAAACAGGACCATAATTTTGACAACCACCCACATCTTGTGCGCTCGCTTAAACTAAGTTCCACGACAAGAGCCAGTCCAGAGAGGGACAGGGACCGAGATCTTCTTAGACTTAGGTAGGGTTTTAGGCTTAGGCTTACCCATAGGCCCCGTAGTAGTTCCTTTTTGGGCTTACCCTTTTGAACTTGTTTATGAACCCCCAAGAAGGAACTATTATGGGGCCTATATGGGTAGGCTTATGGCAAAAACTGTCGGCTTTGGGCATTTGGATCCCGGGGTTCTCGGGTTTGGGGTTTTAGGGTTTCCTTTACACCACTTGGAGGTAGTAAGTAGGCTTATAAGAACCCTCGAAAGGGACCCTGATAGGGGTTATGGTACGTAAAAATCGAAAATAAAAACCGGTTAGAAAGAAACAGGCTCTGCAAGACTCGTTCAAGGATCCGAGTGGCTATGGGCTTATGGCTGTCTACCAAGGGAACCTGATAAAGAAATCAAGGCTGTTATGATGCCACGGCGCTTAACGTGAAACTTCTACCGAAAAGCTCGGGTTGTGGCCTTCCAGAGGTTTTTGGAAACCCCAGACTCTAAACCCTAAACCCTAAACCCTAAACCCCCAGACCCTAAACCCGAATTCGGGCATCTGAGCTGTGAGTCCGAAATCCCAGCGATTTAGGATTCAGGTCCGGGGTTTAGGCACCACAGATCGGAAATCCTGATCCCGCAACGAACATCCCCGACAAGATGCGGCATGAATAGAGACTCCCGAGCTCCCCTACTTTGCTCAAGATGGACACCTTCAAGCCCTAAACCCTAAGCTCTCAACACTAAGCCCTACACCCTGAACCCTAAGCCATAAACCCTAAGCCCTAAACCCTGAACCCTAAGCCATAAACCCTAAGCCCTAAGCCCTAAACCCTGAGCCCTAAGCCCTAAACCCTAAACCCTGAACCCGTAACCCTAAGCCCTAAACCCTGAACCCTAAACCCTAAACCCTAAACCCTTAAACCCTTAAACCCTAAACCCTAAACCCTGAACCCTAAACCCTGAGCCCTAAACCCTAAGCCATGAAGCCCTGCAGTTCAGGAGGAGCCTCGGAACCGGGGGAGTCCGGCGATGTGGCAGACTCCACTTCAGCATCTTTCCTTAGAAGAAGGGCCCCCACCCTGTAATAGTGGTATGATAGGAATATAATAGAGCCCGAATATAATCATAATAGTTATAGTCACTATTACAAGGTGGGGGCCACTTCAGCATCTTTCCTTACAAAGGGTGCTGGGTTTTTGCTCAAGGTTCATAGGCCTTTATGTGACGTGGGGGTTTCAGAAATGACTGGGGACCCGAACATAGGGGCCTTAATAATTAGAATTCGGTTTGGGGGCCATTATGCTATAATTCTACATAACAACGCCCAAAACAGTATTCGTACTTATTCGGGCCCTACAGCAGGGAGCCTAAAGGGACCCGATTCATCCGCAATATCCCTAAACCCTAAACCCTAAAAAACCCAACCCTATAAACCCCTGAAGTGGTCCCTATTCCCAGCGCACTGAGATTTGATGTGATGGGATCCTCGAGCTCCCTCGGCCGTGATGCACCGCATCAATGGGGTGTAGGGTTTAGGGTTTTGGGTTTTGGGGTTTAGGGTTTAGGGTTTAGATCCTTCATCGCGGTGGGGACAAGAGGAAGATCGGATCCGGGTCGCTCTCCGGTACGAGGAGCGCGAGTTTCGGAGAATGAAATCTCTCCGGAGTATCGCGAGAATCGGGTCAGCCGCGCCGCGGCAAACATCGAGCAGATTTTGCAACCCAATGTTGCCACCGTCTTGCTCCCATGCAGGAACTCATTGTTCTTCATGTGAGGCAAGCCTTCGCACAATGTATCCATGGAGATGAATAGGAAGTTTCCCGTTCTGAACCCTTCCCAGATGCGGCGCAGACTTGTTCGATGCTGCTCGAAAAGCCCAAAGCGAATGGTCGGAAGCCCTGCCATCGCGGGGGAAATTGGCCCGAATAGCGACACAAACCCAAACTCTGTGTTGAATCCTAACAAACAGAGGATCATGATGTTCAAGCCTTTCCCTAAATCTTACACCCTACACGCCTAAACCCTAAACATCTCCTTGCCCTAAGCCCCACATATGGTCTAAGAAGGGCTTACAAATTCTGGGGGCAGAGCTCAGAGTTTCTTGATTGACTTTTTTTTTAAAACTGGGTTTAGGGTTTAAAGGTTTCGCGGTTTAGGGTTTCGGGGCTGAGCATTCAGGAATTGAGGGTTTAGTGCTTTAGGGCTTCAGTCTTGGGTTTACGGGCTGTCGGGGCTTGATGTATGACTTCCTCGATCCCGACCCGTAGCTCTGAAGTGAGCTGTTTTCAAAAACAGGCAACTTCTACGGCTGATGATCTGAACCCTGCATTACTTTAAGGACCCTAAACTATGGGAACTATGGTAGATTCCTGGTTATGGGTAATTGTGGTGTATATCATCAATCGTATCACCTGACGACCCAGTCCGGGTAGCCGAAAGTCAAGCTTTTAGAGGGTTGGGAGTTTATGGTTCAGGGCTCGAAGGGTTGAGGGTATTAAGTCAAGGTTCCACAAGTTGCAGGGCACACGATCACACTCCTAGCTCGCTCAATACTACAACTAAGGCTTGTTATTGATTGCAACTAAACCCAGCAGCAAGATCTTGCGAAAGCCACAAGGCATAAACATCGCCGATCAGCCTCTCCACCTTTATGCCATCTTCATACAACTAAGTGCCCGCAAAACGGAGGCTTAAGCCCTAAACCGTAAACCTCAAACCAGTCCCTCAAATTCCCCTAACTCGGAACCTCTATATACTAAGACATAGAAAAAACAGCATTAAGCAAACCGATCTAAGGGCACAAGCTTCGTCTAGCAATGGTTCATTGATACGACTCAACCCCTTGAGAATTGATCCGCTTTTGTACACAGCTGAGGCTCTTGTGCGCCATGGCGCACTTTCCCCTTGTGCAGGAGACCCGCGTCACTGAATTTGGGAACGCTGCGGCGCGGCAGTCTATAGCTAAACGCACGATCAAGTCAGAAGGGCCTTCGATCTAGGTGTGCTTCCCTAAACCCTAAACCCTAATCCCTAAACCCTAAACCCGAATCCCTAAACCCTAAGCCCAAACCCTAATCCCTAAACTTTCAACCCCTGGCCGGGGTTTTGGCTATGTCGACGATATTTCGAGACCGCTTCGATAGGGAGGGGTGGGGGGGGGGTTGTTGTTAGGGGATTTGGGGAACAACAAGGGGGGGGGGGGTTTGTTCCTTCAAAAGGGGAACAACAAGGGGGGGGGGGGGGGGGGGGTTGTTGTTCCCCAAATCCATGAACAACAACCCCCCCCCACCCCTCTATCGAAGCGGTCTGGATATTTCATGACGATGGCAGAGGTGGTGACGGTAAAGCTTACCTTTGGTTAGCAGGGAATGGAGCAATGGGGCACAATTATAGCTATAGCTATTACTACCATTCTTCCATTCCCTACTAACCAAAGGTAAGAAAGAGGACAGACGGCGTCGCTGATGAAGACGACAGTGCCCTAGGAAGAGACACCACAGCGCTGTCACCAATGAGCTGACCTCCTGGGTTCTTCGGGTATGAACAGACAGTGGAACTTCTTGGGCGGGGGGAAAGCCGTAGGGTTAAAGGCAGTACGTAGGCAGCTTGACCAAGAGTCCAACTCTAAACCCTAAACCCCTAAACCCTAAGCCAAAAATCGGGCAAGTAGGGTGTGGAGCTGACAACAGCGTGGGGGGAGTGCGGGGCTAGGATTCAGAGTTTAGGGCCTTATAGTTTATGGATCTATGGTGTAGTCCTCACCTAAGGATCAAGCTTCAAATGGACCGGATCCTACCAAGCACTGGCCGTGCTGAGGTGTTACGGTAGAAATGCAAGTCGAGCCGAAAACCGCAAACCCTGCACTGCAGGCCTTTGTCGATCTTGAAAATAGCCCGGCCGGCTGCGCATATTGAAACCGCAAGCGTAGGGCCAGGGTGAAACGGCACTTGGAAGATCATAAGACTTCGGGTTATACGTACTTTGGCTGCTATAAGCAAATTTGAATATACAGCTACCTTATCTGTAAACTCTAAAACAAACCCCGAACCCTAGTTACCACGTCCACAACCTAAAACCCTAAACCTTCAACCTTAAACCCTAAACTGCCCTAAACACCGAAACCTAAACCGTAAACCCCTACTCGGAGGGTCGGGGGACTTCCTAACTGGCTTTTTAGTCTTATAAGTACCATAGCCCCAAATAGGGTCCCTTTTAGGGTACTTGTAAGTCTACTTACTACCTACTTGCTTAGTCCCCCGACCCTCCAAGTAAGTCCCATGGTCCTCTAAGCAACCCTGAAACCCTCATAGGCCCCATAGTGGTTCCTTTTTGGGGTTCATATATAGAATATTATAAAGTAAACCCCTAAGTCCCATGATCCTCTAAGCAGCTCCCAGGTTGTCAGGGGCGACTTCAGCTCGCAC